TAAAGCAAATAAAGTTTAGCAGTTGAAGTTTGCTGTAGGAATTCCAAGAGTAGCTGAGATGTTCTTGTTGTATCTGTTGTGAAACTTGATCGCCCTCTGAAGATAGGGCTGATAAGTTTTAGCCTCTGGTTTTGAAGACTTATACCGTTTAAGAGCTGCTGCTAATTTGTGGGGTGAGTCAAACTTCGGGTCAACTGGGTATAGGAAGTAATCCAGTTCATTTTGTGGTTTGTGGGAGCGGCTTCTAGTGACCATGGGATGTGAGGTCCATCCCACTTGGTAGTATTGTTGTATGTCTGTCGTATCCTGGTTTGGGGCTGTGGCAAAGTTCTTAATTTTGCCTTTTCTGTTTGTGACCTCCGTAAATCCATCAAGGTGGTTATCCCCCTCTGGAGGATTAGCTATTGAACCTGAAAAAGAACAAAAATTAGTTTGATTTTCCTCAGATATGATATCATCATTGGACAGTAAAGGGGCCATCGGTGGATTAAATTCCTCAAGTCCTGCTGTAGCCTCAAATTTATCACAGGCAGAAGTGCAAGAGTTCATTTGTTCCGGATTCAAAACAATCAGATGTACATCACCAACGGTTACCTCCTTGGTACAGGTGGCCACCGGGGCTTCATTCATAATCATGGTAGCAGGGGCATCATTCGTGGCAGCAAAAAGATGATTAGTAGCTGCTACTTCACCAGAAACTAGTTCAGTGAAGATGGGGGGCGGATCAGTCTGATAACCGGTAACCTCGCCATTAATACCATTGGTATTAGTAGCTGCTACCTCACCAGAAACCGAGGGGCCATCGTTTGAAACCTCACAGTCAGTTTGTCTACCAGATTCTACCATAGCAGAATCAACCTTAGGCAATTCAACAGGAACACCAAGTTCATTAGTATCAGCCATTGCTAACTGAACAGGGGCAACAGAGATAAAACCGGGAGTTTTTAGTAAATCCTCATTGGCAATAACATCAAAAGCAGCAACATCATTGGTAATAACATCAATATTAGTAACATCAGCAGGGATTATTATAGTAACATCATTGCTTTTATTCTCAGTATTAGAAACATCGGCAGTGATTATAGGGGCAGTAGGGGGTTCCTCAGATTCCAAAGAATGCATCGTCGGTGTAGGGACCACTAATTTGGCTACCCGGGGGCAAGTTGAGAGTGAATGACCAAACCTGGAACAGGTGTGGCAGTATACAGGTAGTTGTTCATAGAGTATGGACTGGAAAAAACCATCAGCTCCATTTCCAATCCGGATTTCAGTAGGTAGCTCCCTAGAGATATCAATTTCAATGCAAATTCGAGCAATAGAGGGTCGTGAAAAGTTTGCAGTGGGGGCATCGATTTTAATTGGTTTTCCCAGTAAGCTAGCGATTGAGTCAAGAGCCCTAATATCATGAAGATGAATTGGGAGCCCTTCAAGGGCGACCCAAACAAGGGCCAAGGGTGAATCACGTTCAGCGGAAAAGGACGGTGACCATCGGGTCACTGCCATCTTATATCCAAAGAAATCCCAATACTTTTTCCCCCAAAATCTTTGAAAATCGATGTCCGATATGAAATTAATTAAGAAAATATTTGGTCTAAGCAGTCCGACAGAGTAGGGCTGGGAAAACCCCAGCGCCTCAAAAGCTCTACGAATGGAAGGGAGTGGGGGGCTTCCATTAGAGAAAGTACCAAGAAGTGCAAATCGGAAATGGGTTGAGAAAACCTGTAGATCCTCCTCAGAGAAAGAGACCGCTGGTACTCCATTGACGGATCCAGCTGGTTTCCGTGGGTATCCCAGATGAGCTGCGTCGGAAAAGGAACTGGTTTGAGCGTGCAAGCGTTGGCCGGGGAGACGTTCCCTTACCGCCGCTGCATACGAAGGCTTCAAAGGTGCGGCTACTGGTCTGTGGCCCTCCGCCGGCGGCATTGCTGCCGCGCAGGCTTTGGGTGGAAGAACGAAAACCGCAGGTCTGGATAGAAGCACTTGTGCTCTATAAAAGCAACATTGGTGTCAATAAAAAGTCGGGAATTTTGATATATTTTTTGTAACAATACGGTGTGATATATTATGAATAATAAAAAGCTATTATAAATTAACTTTAGGTACATGTATTCCAAATGTAAAACAAGTATAGCAATTTTTAAAATCTTATTTTTAATAATTTTTTAGAAAATTTTTAAATATACAATTAAGAATTGTGGAAATTTTGTTGTGTTCGATTAGAATTCAATAAAGTTCTATACATTATTTATGTAAATTTTCTCAATATCTAAATGGGCTCATAGATTAGGGTTATGTTTGGCATTTCGAAATGTAGGTGAAGACTTATGTCTGAATTAAGGACTATCGTCTGAAATGATGCTTCTGAACTGTTTATTGGATGAGGTTAATATGTTTGACAAAAAGAGTTAAAAATGCTCGGATAATTTGAGTAAAATTTGATTTAATTTGTTTACTATGAAGTTATATAATCGCTCTACAAACACAAGTTAGAGAGACATACAAAATCAAATGAGCTTATTATGGAGTTATTCATTCGTATTTTAAAAATATTCATGAGTAAATTTTTATTTGTCACCAAGAATTGAGTTGATGACACATGATTAAGTTGATACTATAACACAAAAAAGGACTTTAAAGTTATACATGAAACCTCAAAAACTAATTCATTGATAATGATCTAATTGAGAAAAACATTACGTAAGATGTGTTTAATAGCTCCAAGCCACCAACTTCTCGATGAGATTGTTGAACTAGAATAAAATTGTCTAGCCTATGGTATTCATTTTCCGGTTTTTAAACTGCACCCATACAAGTTTAATAATATTACTATGCTTGAAATCATAATTTTTCATTTACGTACTGTTGATATGAAAATCAGAAACCTAAAAGTCTTACGCAGGACAAAATTGAAAATCCACAACATAAAGAGTCGATTACAATCAGCTCAAATATATCCATTCTGTGTGCAATAGCGAACCCTCAAGAGTTGACACAATCGCTTTAAATAATTAAGGGTGTGATGATTCTATCCTGATTTTTTGTATAAGAATGAGGAAATGAAATGAGAAATTTGAAGCTAAAGTGGAAAGGGAACCAAAAAAAACTCAATAAGATGGAAGGTTGTAATAATTAGAGTGAAAGAAAAGGATTAGTGCTATGTAATGATGTAGATGGTGAAATGGTAGGATGACATAATGGTATAGCTAGGAAAAAAATAACCCTTCAAAATTCATAACTTTTTATTATCTTTAATATGAACCAGTATCGAGTATATAAAAATAAAAAAATAATTATCATGAAATTTTAATAACTTTTTATTATCTTTAGTATTGAGTATATAAAAAATTTTAATAACTTTTTATTATCTTTAATATGACACCAATATTGAGTATGCAAAAATAAAATTTCTGGTTTATTTTAAAATGCTATAACTTTTTTATTTGTACTCTGATTGTTAGTGAAATTATATAAAAGTTCATAATTTTTATTATCTTTAATATTGAGTATATAAATTTTTTAATAAATGTTTATTATCTTTAATATGACACCAATATTGAGTATATAAAATTTAAAAAAAATTATTATCAAATTTTTAATAACATTTTAATAACTTATTTATGTCTCTAATATTGAGTATATAAAAATAATAATATCTTTTATTATCTTTAATATGACACCAGTATTGAGTATACAAAAATAAATTTCATGTTTATTTTAAAGTGTTATAACTTTTACTCTAATTGTTACAAAAGTTATATAAAAGTTCATAACAGAGAGATCGTGAAAGCAAAGTAAGGAGGACTTGTTTAAGTTAAAGCCATTATTATGACATTTTTTTACTAACAAAAAAGGTTTAATTGTTTGATTATAATGTACTGCTCTTTACACATATAAATAAAAAAAATAGATAACAATTTTGGTACTCTAACAATCACTTATTATATGGTTTTTAGATTTAGATTGTTTTAATTTAGTTGAGATTTTCTAGTCTAGTCTGATTAGTTTGTGTATGATTAGGTCTGGTCTAATAATATATATGTTTTATTTATATATTAACTTGACTATTGTCTAAGTCTGATATGGACTAACTTAGTATGATCTTATCTTGTTTGAAACTTAAACAAGTTCAATAAATAAAAAAAATCATAAATTTATATTAAATTTAAATGGGCATTAATAGATAGTGTGAATGCGTATAGTTACACTAGACATGAGTAATGGAAGATTGGTAGGTGGTGGATTTAAAAAACTTAAAGCCATCTGATCTCCAATGAAAATGTGCACAATACATGGATGTTTACATCATAGAGAGATCAAACACGAAATTTAAAGGAAAAATGCTAGAGGTACACGTTTTGTGTACACGTTTGGTGTACACTTGTCTGTCCTTCACAGACAAATTGTCTGTCACAAACAAATTGTCTGTGACAGACAATTTGTCTGTGTTAAAATTGAAGACTAGTGATAAAAATATGAACTGTTATTGAGAGCATATGAACTCATGAAAAAAGGGAAATGCTACTTATTTTATTATGCATCCCGTAAGATGCTATATATAATACATGATACATCACAATGAATAATAGGAGAGAATAATGCATGGGCCATGCAAAGCATGCTACCCACGTATACATGTCTAAATGATAGGAAACATTACATATGATGTAAAATAATATTATGAATAGTGTAATACTCTTAATACTCCCCCTCAAGGTGGCGTGTGAAGGTCGCGAACACCCAACTTGCTCCGGAGAAATTGAAAACGGTCGGTGCCAAGTGCCTTAGTGAAAATATCAGCAATCTGGTGCGTTGTAGAGATGCAACATGGTTGGATTTCACCGCTACTAACACGCTCGCGAACAAAGTAACAGTCCATTTCTACATGTTTAGTGCGTTCATGAAAGACGGGATTAAGTGCAATATGTCGTGCCGCTTGGTTATCACAGAAGAGAGGTGTAGGGCAAGTTTGAGAAACCGTTAGGTCTCTAAGTAGCCATCGTAGCCACAAAATCTCACTAACTGTAACGGCCATGGCACGGTACTCCGCTTCAGCGGAAGAACGAGAAACAACAGACTGTTTCTTTGTTCTCCAAGAAATTGGGGAACTGCCGAGAGTGATAAAATATCCAGTACTTGAGCGACGGGTGTAAGAGCACCCTGCCCAGTCAGCATCACAATATCCCTTCAAAGAGTGATCATCGTCTGCTGACAGGAAAATTCCTTGTCCCGGAGTCTGTTTTAAGTAGCGCAGGACACGTATGGCAGCGTCAAAATGGGACTGGCGTGGCTGGCTGAGAAATTGGCTAAGCTGGCTGACGGAGAAGACAATGTCGGGGCGTGTGACGGTGAGATACAACAAGCGCCCAATTAAGCGTCGATATGCGGAAGCATCTATGAGTGGACTACCATCATCAGGACGAAGTTTTAAATTCTGTTCCATGGGAAATTGACTGGGTCGGGCGGCTAGGAGACCACTATCTTCTAGGATGTCGAGTGTATATTTACGTTGACTGAGCACAAATCCCTCGGGAGAACGAGCTACCTCGATTCCAAGAAAATACTTCAATGGACCCAAGTCTTTGATGCTAAATTGGTCATTCAAGTACCCTTTGATTCTGCCAATATGAGACACATCATTTCCGGCGAGGATAACATCATCGACATATATGAGGGCAAAAGTGTGATTTTCACCTTGCTGGAAAATGAACAAGGAATGGTCCGCCCGTGATTGACGAAATCCAACATTCAGAAGTGATTGAGTAAACTTGTGGTACCAATTACGTGAAGCTTGGCGTAAGCCATAAAGAGATTTTTGCAATTTGCAAACACGAGTGTCACCATTTTTAGTAAACCCTTGAGGCATACGCATGTAAACGTCTTCAGAGAGATCTCCGTGGAGAAAAGCATTGTTGACATCTAATTGATGCACCTCCCAATTACGTTTGGCCGCAACGGCTAACAAACATCGTACTGTTACGAGTTTAGCGACTGGGGCAAAAGTCTCATGAAAATCAATTCCTTCGACTTGTGTGAAACCTTTGGCTACCAATCTTGCCTTGTAGCGTTCCACATCACCATTAGGTTTATATTTTATTTTATACACCCATTTAGAGTCTACTGCTTTCTTTCCCGGCGGTAGCTGAACCAAGGTCCAAGTACCATTTTCTTCTAAAGCATGAATCTCCTTTTGCATAGCCTCCTGCCACTTTGGATCTAAAATGGCCTGTGAAAATCGTTTTGGCTCATCACGTGAAGTGATGGCTGCCAGAAATGCTTTATGTTTATCAGAAAACTTCTCATAAGTAATAAAATTAGAAATGGGATATATTGCTGAGGTGCCTTGATTTGTGATCTGTGAATAGTCCAAAGAGGGCGGTAGGTCAGTATCATATTCAGTGAGATGTTTAGGGAGTCTGCGAGCTCTAGTACCTCTCCTTATCTCATCTGTGGCTGAAATTTGCTCAATCATGTCGCATGGAGCCTTTCTTAAAATTGAAGACTAGTGATAAAAATATGAACTGTTATTGAGAGCATATGAACTCATGAAAAAAGGGAAATGCTACTTATTTTATTATGCATCCCGTAAGATGCTATATATAATACATGATACATCACAATGAATAATAGGAGAGAATAATGCATGGGCCATGCAAAGCATGCTACCCACGTATACATGTCTAAATGATAGGAAACATTACATATGATGTAAAATAATATTATGAATAGTGTAATACTCTTAATAGTCTGTGAAGGACAGACAAGTGTACACCAAACGTGTATACAAAACGTGTACCTCTAGCATTTCTCAATTTAAAGCCATCTCCAACTAAAATGTGCACATTTACATCACAGAGATCAAACACGAAACATAAAGCCATCTCCGATGAAAATGTGCGCATTACATGCATGTTTACATCACATATAGATCAAACACGAATATATTCATCAATTCAAATAGTGATATACTCCGATCCGTATATAATTCAAATGAATAATTACAATAGTGTAATATTACACCCAAGCTAAAATAAATAGTCGTGTTTATCGATTCAAATAGTTATTATAATGGTCCAATTTCAATATATTAATGTCATTATTATAATTAATACACTATTATAATTACTAGATTTTTCACCCGTGCTTTGCACGGGATGCAGTTAGTAACCAATACATTATTTGGAATTGAAATATATAGAGATGTTGTGATAAAGATAGAAGAACACATATATTGTCTTTAACAAAAGGAAATGAAGATAAAAAAAAAGTACAAATTATTATATACTTAATTGTAAACAACACTTAAAGTTTTCTTACCCGGTTTTCCATCATCATTACATATAATAAACTTCAATCTAGAAAGTAAGCTAATTTTAACATTATCAAACATACTTTTATTTGAAGTTTATGCTTGAATTCTTTTTACTTCATTTGCAGTTCAATTTATTTTATGAAGATGTGGAAGTGGGATACAACATATTTATTAGAGAATTATTTTTCGTATCTAACATGAAAGTTTTAGGAGTTTCCATATTTCATGACTGTACGTAAACCAATTACGTTTTGAACTTCCAATTCAAACTCGAACCTGCGATTAAATTTAAGTCTTAATTTGAAAACAAAAATAAACCAAAGCTAATGTTTGTAGTAATTCAGTAAACTGAGTCATCATTTATGTTGAAAGTAAATGATTTTTCATCCCCGTGACTTGGAATCCCATATGCAGATATGCTCCTTGAATTGGAACTGAAAAGAAACATTTAGTTTAAATTACCACCAACTTTATATAAGTTAATTAAGTAGAATAATAAAAGCAGATTTGAGGTGTCATTACCTGCAAACCATGTAGGATATAGACATTAGTAATTCTGGAAAACGGGCAAGATCAATATAAACAATATCCTATGTGCCCTTTCACCAGCTTCCTTGAATACTACTACAGGGAAATCCGTGCTCAAGAATAGGCATTTTTTAGATGACTTTAGTTCAATGGTATTATATTTTACAACTCTTCTAACATGAAAGGATATATATCATTCCAAAAGCATTTTTAATGAGTAACATGGAGATTAAAAACATAGCAAAATAGTTCATTCCAATTTCCAAACACACACTCTTTCTTCATTTTTCCATTAGTTGAAATATCTTTTTTAAGATTTTTTTTACCTCGTAGCCGAATACTTTCTTCATTTTTTTCCATTTATTGTAGACTTCTTTGTCAATAAAAATGATGTATTGCACTTGGATTATAATCTAAATGATTTGAGATTTCCATATTTAACCAAACTAAAAGTTTAGACTTTAGAGCATATTAGAACATACTTACATCATCAAAATTGAATTCTTTTTCCTAGTTTTTGCAGAGCAGATTAGAATATCACTTAAAAAGGTGGAGAAAATAGAGGTCCATGCTCACATCATGATCACTTAATCCTTTTGAAAGTCGTAAACCTTTGGTTATAAGGAAAATATTATGTTAATCTAGCTGAAACAAAAAATGTGTAATCAAGATGGTTGGACCTCTGAAATGGATGCAACATGGTGAACTCTAAAAGGAAATATAAGTGTAAGAGTGAAGAAGGTACGTGATAGTTAATTAGAAGGAAAGATAAGTTTAACATGACCTTATATTTGCCTTATACAAAATGCAAAAAGCCGTCACACAAAGTAATTAAATTGGAAAATATCATCTTCATTGTAACAACATCTAATAAATGTAATAAATAAATAAAAATTTAATTTGTAGTATGATGCTCTAAGATTTAGGAAGAAGAATGATTTTGTTAATTGGAAAACTAAGTCTACTTTACAATCGGCCAAGCCCTCCCTATAAATACATTTGCTATACACTTAAAGAAGCCACTACAACATTTTGGATCTCTTAGTACACAGAAAAAATGTTGTATAATAGGAAAAAACTGTTGCCAATGGTTTCTGCAACATTTATAAAATTGTGGTGATGTGAGCCGTTGCCTATGCTTTTGGAAACAGTTTTTAGATTTAAGGCAACATACTAGGAAAACTGTAGTCATAGGATAGCATAGAGAACAGTTTTTTTCAAGTAGATAGGACAACAATTTTGAACCGTTTTTATCAATAGTAACAGAAACAAACTGTTGCCAAATATGTTATATACTATCATTATTACGTACATTTTTTAACTATTGCTACTGAGAAAAAAGAATAATCTTTGTAAAAAATAGCAATGCTTTATAAAATACAGCAATTCTATTTTTCTGAATCATTTTTAATTGGAATAGAAACACAATTTCACTTGCACCAAACAATATTTTATAACAATCACTACGTTCACAATCCAACAAAATACATAGTGATCACCATTCACCATCTTATTCCCTTTAAAGTCTAAATCATCAAAAAAAAAATAGTCTTAGTGTCTAAGAGCAAAAAAACTTCATCAAATTAGTTAAAATCCCAACAAAAAGAAAACGAACTTTATCAAATCACTCAGCCATCCATGTTCACCTCTCCAGCCATCTTCACTTTCTTCATCAATTCCATCACTCATCTACAAAATTACATATATTCAGTTTTAGATAAATACTATCGTATGTGAAATCCAGTGCATAATAAAACACTAGTTGCTTCTTTTAATTAAAAGTGCAGGTCAGGACCAAAAAATTAGCTAGTTTAAATACTGCCTTATTACATGCTTTAAGCAAAATCTGAAAAAATAATTATAATCATCGCACAATCTCACAATCATATACTACGTACGTAATACTACATATAATTGATGCATGCACTCTGAAGTATGTACTAATGTATCACCAACATGGAAAAAGACAATAAGGAAAAAGGGTCGATGAAAAAAGAAGAGATAAGAACTAGAGAGAGATACATGAGACAAAGAAGTGAGCAAATAAAAAATTCTACATACAAATTTAGTGCAAAAAATTCTACATACCAATTTATAATACCAATTTATTATAAATCCGTAGGCAGGTTGACATAAACAGAAAATGTGATTTAATCTTTCCAGAATTGACAATCAAATCTTGAAGCTTTGTCTAACATATTTGGAAATGCAATGTAATCAATCATTTTGATCATTCTTTGGAAAGACGTAAAATAGTTGAGTAAAACTTACAATTGCATCAATTCTTCTCAGTTCAACTTCTTCCTTTTCTTGACTTGTGGAGTTTCAATACACTTCAGCTACAGAAGGATGCTCTTTGTTATCCTACATTGCACATTATACAGTGAAGTAATAAGATCAGTAACATACAGGAAATTGATTAATAAATACTCGATTTCAAATTTTACAAAGTTGAATACCAATCTAAGTAGTGTGCAAACCCATCAATAGCAAGAATGAAAACTAAAAAGATAGTATAGGCTTTTCAATTCATTAAAGAAAAAGTAGATTAAATGAAATTGAACAAATAGTACAGTACTTCTTAAAATCAAAATATAAAATAAGGAGGTAGTATGATTATACATATACATGCACACACAAAAATGTATATAAAGCATCAATTGTTGGAGGTATACAACTTACAATCTATTGCTCGTTTGCTCTAATTCTATGAATTAATTTCCTTATGAATAATTATTTGACTCTTCTAATGTGGTAAACATTAAACAAAAATGCAAAATAATGTCAAATATTTAGTAACTTTAATAAATAAAAAACTTTGAAACCATTGGTCAGTGGACTAAAGACCCTTATAAGGAGAGGATAAAAAATGTGATGAATAGATATATGATAAGGGCTACCCTAGCTAGTATCCTATCAGTATTTCCTATTACATAGACTAAATCCACTTAACAGAGAATTTCCTATTACCCTAGCTAGATACTCCGTTTATAGCTAAATCCAGTAGTATATGATAAGGGCTACTCATCCTCAGTTTATAGCTACATTTGACTGTGAATTGGGTGTTTTATAAAATCAATATTGTTTGAACTTTATTATTTAAAAAGAAGAGAAACAATATCAATCACAAAAGCATTCCCTTATATAGATAGTGGAGATGATTATGAACATATGAAAAAAGAGAAGACGGAGAGAGTAAATATGACTTGCATACCTTCATTTATTAATGACGCGATTCTTGTTCACAGAGCAAACGCCTTTAGATAATATCATAATAGATGAAGCCTTCAAAAATAATCTGGTTATTCTAAAATCTTAATAAGCCTGCAAGCTCAAATGCCATAAGAAGGCAACAACGATAACCTCCCGTGCATTAGGTAAACACATAATAATACATTTATAATACTAAGTTAGCCAAATAGGATTTGCTTAACCCCTAGAACTAAACTTGAAACCATTGGCCGTTGAATTTCGGTCACCTACATTTCTTTCGTATGTAGTTTGTTGGAAGTTGTTGTAAAGGCCCTGCTACATTTACTAAGGGGAACATAACTTCGTTTGGATTTGGATAGATGACTATTTCAAAAGTCCCTATAATAACAATTGGTGTAATCTGCAAATTCATCTAAAAGATTTACACTCCATAAATTATGGATTTAATTATGAAATAGACAAAATTAAACTTTGATAGACATTATGATTCCCCGATTCCTCA